ATTTCATGTAAATGTTCTGGCGTGCCGTTGTCGCTCTTTGCATCCGACTTTTCATCTCCTTGTAGACTGGACAGCCTCTGTAGTTTGCTGCGTGGTTTCCTTGGCAGTTAACACACTTTTTAGTGAGAGAGTCTCCCTTGTTGGCAGGGCAGGGTTCGGAGCCGTGGCAGTTTCCACAAGCTACACAAACTGACCTGAGGGTGCAGTAAGCCCTGGTGTGTCCGTATTCCTGGCAGTTTGTACATTGCACTGGCCTGTTCCGTTTGTGCGATTCTTCAACTGTGATCCTACGGTGCAGAAGGTACTGCAACTTGTAGATCGGGTGCACTGCTTTTTTTTCAAAGTTCTGCTGTCTGGCTCCAGCTCGACCTTGAAAAGTGGTTGCGGCTTCTTGTTTTTGTTCATAATGTTTATAACATTTTTGGCGCAAAAACCGTTTTCTTTTAAAGCCTCTATAATTTCAGAGGGGGTCACATCGGGTTCTATTCCCTTGAGGACAACTTGTAAGCCCTTGCAATTTTTAGCTGGTACCTGTAGTAATTCTTTTTGGCATTGTTTAGGTACTTCGACACTGCTCGGAAATCATCTTCGGTTTTGGTTTGAAGTTTGGTTTCGCTTATATTCCCTTTCATAAGCGGAATAACATGAAAGTTATCCTTCCCGAAAAGCTCAACTATTTTATTGACTGGGACGTTGGAGATCTTCTCCCGAATAAAGATAGGTGGGGGCTTCAGTTTCTTTGGGGCTAATTCTTCGTACTCTGTTTCAGGCTCCGCCAGAATGGAAAATCTATTTTCATTTAATGGCCCGAGATTTTCAGGGCCTTTGTTGGTACGGTTTATTTTGGGCATATAGCCGTCAGATTTTTTTGGGGGGGTTAGCTTGCGCTTGGAAATATTAATATAGCGATCCATGCCTGTCTGCATGGCCGAACTCGCTTGCGGATTTGTAATTTTTTCTACCGTAGCTTTGTTTTTGCCGTTTGACCCGATTTTTGCACTTGGTTGTGTTGTTGCTTTACCCGCTGCAGAAGAAGAGAGTGGAGTCGTTATTGCATTGTTGGCGACAGAGACCGTTGTAGTTTACGTAGTAGTTGCTGTTGTTGTTGCACTAGGTAGCAGAATCTCGGTTGGAGTTTTGCATTGCTCACTCCATGGTGTTTGTGCGGTGAAAAGCAGGGTGGGAGATCAAGAACTAGCTCTCTGGTTTTCGGCGGTCAGTAAACTTGCACTTTCTTGCACTTTCGGTTCTAGAGTATTACTCGTGAACGAGAAATAAGCAGTGCTTCGGGCCAAAGAGAGACGACGTTTGTCTTGCTCTCTCTGAATTTTTTCACGGGCTTCGTCTTGTTGTTTTTGGCGTTGAGTGCGCTGATCCACGTTCTTACTCATTTATTGATAGAGCGTTATATTAATTAATTAATTAACTAAAACTTTAGTTTACGATTTGCGAATTAGCATCGCGAATCGCAAAACCTCGCGTTATAAATTTTTTCGAACGTTTACGACTTAGTGGCTTATTGTTTTTCCGGAGCGTTAAGAAAACACGTCTACACGCGACCGAAGTAGTAGTTAAAAAATGGTGCAGTTCAAATGATCACTAAATTTAATGTTCAAATAATTTCTTCCAGAACCTAACTTATGCTAAGGTTGCGAGAGACGAGGAGAATTCGCAAGAGCGAACGGACAACAACTAGTGATTTCAATTTAAATAAACGCGCCAAGTGCGCAACACCTATATATGACTTTTTTTGATGTTTTTTGTTATTTCTTTTTTTTTTTGCTTTTGCTTAAAGAGTAAATGTACCTTGATTTTAATTAATTACAATGTTTGATTTTAGAGAAATTATTTTTTTTTGTTTTACCAAAAACGGATTTTATACTTTGAGGTAGTTTGTTCCACAGCAAAATTGGGCTTATAAAAATTTGTCTTTTTGAATTTAAATATTTAACCTTGGAAGCAACAAATTATTTGTCCTTTGCAAAATGGCTGGATAAATGTGACGGTTCCATAGAAGTTCTAATTTTGTGCATGTAATTAGGAGTCCGTAGATCAATCCATTGACTTAAATTTAAGCAGAGAATCGGTTTAAACAAATATGATACATGGTTCAATTGACGAAGTCTAAACACTTATCTGACGATAGCATTACAACAACTATTTTTTCCATATCTTCTGAATCTTCGTTTTTGCGTTCACTATGCATTTGCTTTTAATAACAGAGAGAACACTATTACCAACAGAGATACAATCATTCACTTGGGACAACGGTTTGCTAAGATAAAATTGGACGTCATCAGCGTATAATTGGACGACACAGTTAGACAAAACTCAGCAAACTGAATCTGGAAACATTAGCCACCGATACTACCGCTTGAAATATTACCAGAAATATAAGATTGAAGTAGTTTTACTGCAGAGCTTGTGAAATTAAAGATGTTTTTTAATTTTGTGGTCAAGATTTAATGGTTGACAGTGTCAAATGCCTTGCTATGGTCCAGCAAGGTCCGAAAAGTTGCTATCGAGTTTTTGACATATACCTTTGTCAATGTCTGTTATCGCATTCAAGCCACTGCTTTTTTTTCTGAATCCTGATTGTTTCTGACAATTTAGTAAATTATTTTCTACAAATGGTTGAATTCGAATAGGCATGAGGTTCTCAAAAGTTTAAGCTAGAAATGGAATGTCAATAAACGTATTGAATATGTATGTAAGAGAAATTTTATTAATTTTAGGTTTAAGACATCTAATCCATCAGCATTAGATTTAACTTTTTAAATTTACTGCAATACATCACATTGGTTAATACACTCTACAAAACTAAAACATTATCACAGGTTCTAAAGGTATTCAGGTACTTCTTAAATCTAGCTTCAGGTACGTTAATTCATTCGCGATTTTTGTTTCTTCTCAACACCTATAGTTGAAAGCTCATTCCAAACTTGTATAGAAGAAACTGAACTGTTAAATTTTAGCTGATCTTATCGTTCTTCTGATCTAACTCTCCTGTACTCCAAGTGACAGGCATCAGTTTTGTAGCGTTCTATTTTTTTATACGCTGTGTCCCGAATCATGTTCCTTATATCTTGACTGAACCAAGGATTGTGTCTAGGCTTAGATATATTTTTTTTGACAGAAACACATTTATCAAACATATACAAAATATAATTGTTAAGAAGATCTAACTGGTAATTCACATACGGAAATTTATTAATAATTGATCAGTCACACGTATTGTGCTCTAGTTCCAGTTCTTCATAATTTATAATCCTATAATCTCTAAACGTATATGACTTAACATTAAACAAAAAAACAAATATCATACTTCAGGAATATAAGGATCATGTTTAGAAAAAGCCGGTACAGGTATTTGGTCGTATATCAATCTTATGAGAGTCGTTTACAAAAAAAGTAGTGCTGCTTTCTTTTGAAGGCGTTATTTTTACCAGTCATTTGCCATCGTGCGAAAGTTAAACGATTGCTTTCTCTTTCTAGCGCTTGTCTCTGAAAAATGTATCGTTCTCGGCAGAGCTGATGAGATCAGTTTCTGCTTTGCTTAAAGGTTTCGGGGAGTTGAAAGAGAAAGGGGAAGAGTGAGAGTTCCGCTTTTATGTTCTTGAGCGAGCTTATCCATTCGCACAGTGCAACGGACGTGGACTGAGCCATGGTGCAACAATACAAGGTGGTCCCGACACACGAGCTGGCCTCTTTTGAGGACGTTACTTGTACCAGTCGTTTGTCAAACGTGCGAAAGAAAACGGTTTCTATCTCTGAAAAATGTTTCGTCCTCGGCAGAGCTGACGGGACCACCTTGTATAGTTGCACCATGGGCCACGCATCAGCGAGTAAAGACAGCGTTACGAGTTTTAAGCTTCTCTAAAAGCATCGCCTCTTTAAAGATACGGTAGTATTCTCCTAAGAGCTGCTCGTTCACGTTAACCGCTGCAGTTGAGTCGAAGCCCATCATGCGTAAGCTTAGTTGCTGTTTTGTCTCGTGCCGGAAAGCCCTACGGACCGCAACAACGCAATTTCTTCTCGGGCACTATCAAACTTGACCAAAATAGTCGGGTCAACCGTAGAATTCTGTGTCTTCCGTGCTCGGTATATATCGCGGATTGTGGGCCGCGGACTGAGTTTAAGTGAGAGCACAATTGATAGAGCCGCGCTCGAAGGTTTTCACCTTCCACGTAAGGTACCTGTGCATTTGTAACTTACTTGCATAGCTTACCATGTGTTGAGCGGCCAATTTGATCTCCACTCCTCCCACTCTGTCCCGCAGTGCTCGTAGCTCTCCAACCTACCGCTTCTCTATGGGTGCGCAGATCGGCCACTTCGAACTCCAGTATGCTGGCCCGTTCCACTACGCGTTTGACTTTATCGGAGATCAAGTCAATTCGCCTTGACATTGTTCATTGATGGATATCAATGATCCACTATTCAGTCTCCTTAACAAATGCTGACAACTGCTGAGTCTGCTCCTGAAGTTGAACCTTTAGCAGTACCAACATTTGGAATGGCATCGGACAGTCAGTCATCTGCGGCGCATGTGTTGTTTAGAAAGCTTTTGCTTGATTCCATAATTTTTGTTGTTGTGTTTTATGGAGATTTGCAGAACCAGTGAAGGTATGTGTGTGTTGCGCTGCTCTGTATGGCGCTAATTGTTTTGTTCGGTCGAACTAATACTGTCCCAGCAATTAGACTTTTGCTAATTTGTAAACTTGCTCTTTATAGTTGTTAAAAGACGAAAAAGTTAAGAAGTTTGATCTTTAGTGACAAGAACAGATGTTAAACTTTAAAAAAAACACATATGTGCTTTTAATTTACTGTGTCTGCTTAACTCGATGTTTGTTTGACTGAAATTAGTGTTTATAGCCAAATCTTAAGTGCAATTTGAAGATTAAAAGGTATATTTTGATTCTAAGCTTTTGTCAAAATTAAATTTTCACTCTAAAATTTATAATATTTTTCCATAAAACTCGTACTTGTAAAAAAAATCTTACCTCCTTGCTCATCCAACATAACAATGCTTCGCATTCCAACTTCCGCGCTCTAGACAAAAATATATTTGCATTTTTATATTATTAGATCAGACTTAGTGTAGTAAAGAGTATGATAAATAATGATTTAGAATATTATTGTTTATATTTATTTCACAAATAATTAATTTTTCATACATGTAATACCAAAAAAACATTTACCATTCTGTTTCAAAACGGAGCCAGCACTCCGTTAACCGTATTCGAACCTTATTAAGGTTTAATTTAATGCTCACCAGGGAGTCTGACTTGCTGTTTTCATAAATAATTATTGACACCCAAACACCGGAAGAATATGGCCGTATGTTTAAAGTTGATCAAGCTTAGATATTTCTCAAGCCGTTTGCCCAGTCATAAATGTTTGTTAAAACTTTATGTACATTCATGTACACAGTCGCAGAAGATTTACCGTAATTTAATCGACCCAAACAGATAAAGGCCGGTCAGAGCGCGAGAACCCAAATATGCTGCATTAACATTTTTAGGTCGTACCGTCGCCTTATGCTATGCTTTTGCTCACTTACGTTTACCTATCTCTTTTTATGTACGCCATTTTTTGTCGCGTAGATCTTGTCATTCTTAAATCTAACATTATTTTAAAGAGTGCTCATTTTTAAACTACAACAATTGCCGAAGTAAGCGACGAAATATTTTAAAACCCTAATAGGAGTAGTGGGGGAAAGAATCAAGAATAAGCACAAGATCAAAGATCAAGATCAAATATATAAAAAGTCTCCAAGGCAAAAAACTTGTAAAGCCATTTGGTGATAAATTTAAGCCCCAATGGTTTCCTGGAGGGAGGAACACATACACTCATATAACACCCCAAGAAAAACTCAAATTCTAAATTATGATCGGAAGCAAACTGTGTCAAGCCGTTACATAAGTTAACACCCAAAATAATACAATTTCCCAGACAGAAGAAAAGAGTAAGCATCGATTGCACAACAAACAGCAAAGCAATGCCCTCAATAATACAATTTCCCAAACCGAAGAAGATAGCATTTATTGCACAACTAACAACAAAACAATGCCCTCAATAAAGCTCAAACAAACTTAGCCACGTGCGCTGAGCTTGCACCTTTTGGCCAGCGATCGTGGGAATGCAGAATAGTCAATTTCCAAAGTTGATCGAACTCAACTAAGTGCATACAATAAAAACAATAATTTAAATGCACTGGCCAATTACAATTAAGTTTGGTCAACGGCAACGGCGACCAAGAGCAGCAACCAATAATATGAAAGAACGTCAACAGACGGCGGCAGAACTAGATCGACGCGTATCCACAATATACCCTATACTAACCTAGAATTATACACCCTTGTAACAAGAGCCCAAAATCGAAGACCAATGGAAAATCCCCAAATGTCAATCCCAGCTTATCACCCAAAACTGTAGACTAAACAACTCACCCCAATTGTCACGTTCACACGTTCAAAGATAATCAAAGTTCGGCTCGCAGACACATAAACTCCTATTTCAATCCAAAGACATTTCAAAGTCTTAAAACCTAAGAGCGCACTTGTATCCAAGAAACACTTGAATCCAAGAGTAGTTAAAGTTTCACTCAAAAGAAACTGAAATTTTCTCAGAACAATTCCACAACTCACTCAAACCCGAATAGCTCGAGACCGAGGCTTGATCGTCAACAGAATCAGATGAGCAAGTTAAGTTCAGTTTGAGACCTCAATCTAATAGGTCGGTGTTCTTCACTAATAAGTAAAATTTCTGTAACCATTAGTTGAATAAAATAAAAATATATTTTTTTATATAATCGGAGTTGTAAACCTATAATTGGCGCAGTCGGTAGGATCTAAAAATAAAGTCATTTTAAAATACGGTACTGATCAATAAAGGGATATACTAAACAGTTAGTTAGCCTGATCAGCGAATTAAATAAAGTGCATTAAAATGATCAGCAAAAGAATTTACGTGACGTAAAACCTACGAGTGGTCATAAGACATCCAAAAATCCAGAACGGTCAGAAATAAGAAATCATTTTGAAAATAAAAATAAAATTACGTGACATAAAACCTACGAGTAGTCATAAAACATACAAAAATCCAATTCGGTTAGAAATAAAAGACATTCTGAAAATAAAAAAAAAATACGCGATGTAAAATCTACAAGTGGTCATAGAACATTTCAAAATTATATTTGGTCAGAAATAAAAGACATTTTAAGAAGACCAAACACAAGCCCAAGACAGGATGGCAGTTCAACAGTTATCAGAGATCCATCTGAACCAGTTACTGGATCAGATCAAAGAACTACAGTACTTCGATGGAACACCAGGAAAACTTTCAGGGTTCATCAATGAAGTCGAATATTTACTACAACTGTATCCAACCCAAGAGCCAAGACAGGCACACGTCATTTTCGGAGCAATCAGAAGAGTGGAAATGGACACAGCAGCAGAAACCGTCGCACAATCTGGAGCTAATAACTGGGTAAAAATGAAGACAGCCTTAGCCGTCGCCTTCAAAGATAACAGGCCCTATGAAACAATCATCAAGAAGCTGGCTGAAACACAATTCAAAGGGAGTCTTAGTAAGTTTATAACAGAATTAGAAAAACAATATAGGAATCTGTTCGACAAATAAGAATTAAAATCGGATCCATCCGATAAAATAAATTATACAAGAATGTTGGATAGAACAGTTCATAATACCATTGATCGAAAACTTCCCAATCGTATGTATATGTCACTAGCAAGAAAAGACCTAACCAATATATCGAAATGAAAACAAGCAGCTATGGAGTTAGGATTCTATGATGCACACCCAGAAGAAGAATATACACAAAATAGAAATAACCATAAAAATCATAGGAATAAGGGAAGATATCCGGGTAATAATCAAAGATATAATGATAATCAAAGAAATTTAAGTTCGTGCTACAATTCTAATTCAAATTCTTATCCTAATGCAACAACTTCCCAGAATAATCAAAACCAATATCAACAACGTCCCATTTCCCCACACTTGCAAGGCAATTACCAAACATTTAGGAACGGTTTAAGTCAAGCTAGATACAAAACCCAAATAATCATCAAAATTTGAATGTTCAGGCTAATACAAATAGGTTTAGTGGTGTCCCAGTAAAAAGACAGAGGGAAAGTAAAAGTGGCCAAACTAGGTTGGACGTAAATTTTCATCAAACTGCCTCTGAGACCGAAGATACAATCCCTATGTAAAAATTGTTTTTCATAATCAATTTTATAAGGGAATGATAGACACAGGATCATCAATCAATATAAGGAAAAAAAAATTATGCTAAATTAAAGGAGGCAAAAGAAGATTTAAAAGTGTATACTATTAGAGGTCCAGTAAAAATACATAAAAGTATCATAGTAACATGTCCGTCAGAACAAAAATGATGTTTACATAAATTTTCCGATAATTATGATATCCTGTTAGGTCGAAATTACCTAGAAGCTGCAAAGGCAAAAAATTGACTATGAAAACCAAACAATTAAATTAGGCCCAAAAACATATAAATTCCGTTACAACGACGAAGACATGGAAGAAAACAAGACCGCACTGGAGTGCCTTAGTCTACCTTCCACAGAAGATCAATCGGTAAACTTCGCAATTCATAATGATTTACGCGAAAACAACGAGCTTAGGCTTGAACATCTGAATAGCGAGGAGATTGAAAGTTGAAAGAACGTTCTATTTGAATATGGTGACATTCAGTACAGAGAAGGTGAGAATTTGACTTTCACAAGTACCATTAAACACACAATCCAAACTCAGCATGAAGACCCAGTTTATCGTAAGCCATATATATACCCCCAGACCGTTGACGAAGAAGTAAATAGGCAAATCAAAAAAATGAAAGAGCGGGGAATAATTCGTAATTCAAAATCTTCTTACTGTTCACCTATTTGGGTCGTTCCAAAAAAGACCGACGCGTCTGGCAAGAAAAAGCTTAGGTTGGTTGTAGATTATAGGAATTTAAACGAAATCACTATCAATCAATGATAAATTTCCAATTCCTAGAATAGACGAGATCCTTGACAAATTAGGAAAATGCCAGTATTTCACAACCATAGATTTAGCAAAAGGATTTCATCAAATCCAAATGGATATCAGATCAATTGCGAAAACAGCATTTTCTACGAAATATGGCCATTACGAGTACACTCGAACGCCATTCGGCCTTAAGAATGCCCCCGCAACTTTTCAAAAATGTATGAACAACCTTTTGGAAGACTTAATCTACAAGGATTGTTTAGTTTATTTAGACGATATAATAATTTTTCCACTTCATTGGAGGAACACATCCTATCTGTAAAGAAAGTTTTTGGAAAACTTAGAGATGCAAACTTAAAACTACAATTGGATAAATGCGAGTTCATGAAAAGAGAAACAGAATTCCTAGGTCATGTTGTAACTACTGACGGTATCAAGCCCAATTCAAATAAAACCAATGCTATCACAAATTTCCCACTGCCAAAGACTCCAAAACAAATAAAATCATTTTTGGGATTATGTGGATTCTATCGTAAGTTCATTCCAAACTTCGCTAACTTAGTTAAGCCCATGACCATTAAATTGAAAAAAGGAGCAGCAATAGACACAGAAAATAAAGATAACATTGCAACATTTGAAAGGTTAAAGGTACTTATTACATCAGATCCGATTTTAATCTACCCTGATTTTAGTAAAACTTTTTCCCTAACTATTGACGCTAGTAATATTGCCATGGGTGCAGTTTTGTCTCAAAATCATAAGCCCGTTTGTTATGCCAGTAGAACTTTGAATGAACATAAAATAAACTTCAAAGATTGAAAATTAAACTAAACGAATTTGATTATAAGATTAAGTATCTTCCCGGAAAAGAAAATTATGTAGCAAATGCATTATCGCGTACCAAAATATAATAATTAATACTTGGCGAAGTTGCCAACAGTGTAGATGCAACTATACATAGCGCTTCTGAAGATAATCTTTATTATATACCCATCACAGAACGACCATTCAATTATTTCTCTAGACAAATAGAA